TTCAGTCATGGCTAGCTAAACAAGTCTTAATTTTCCTTGGTAGTGAGTCAGTGTAAAGTCGGGTCTTTGGAAAGTATCTAACCTAAGAGCAAATGAAATGATTCAGTGTGCCTAGTGTCAAGACTACGGCAGGAGAGGGACACACAAGTGAGGGTGCGGTGCACTTCTGGCAAAGAGAACAGGGCTGGCATGAGAGTGAGTCAGTGGAATGCTTTGTTTCTACAGAGCTGAATATATGCCTAGCCCCCAACTCAGTGATGGAAAGGGGAAGTACCAAAGGAGATCCAATTTGGAAATAGGAGGCCAGAAATCTGGGAAAGCACAAGCCCACCAACCTCACTGAAGAAAAGAAATGGGGTATAGAGGAGGCCTCCAGGGAGGCTGAACCCAAGGGTCTGGGGAGGGTGATTTGAGAAGGCAAATGCAGGTGCCCCAAAGGGAGGCCATCCTGGGTAGTGAAAAGAGTTCCTATGGAGAAGAAATGGAAACTAAAGTCAATCCTCTTGTGACCTGAGAAGGGTGAGATTTGAGGGCAAACAGAGCTTAATAGAGGGCTCCCCAGCACAGCAGAGGGTGCGGCTGTCCATTCACACACCAACACTGTGGGTAATGCTATGTCTGAGTTGCTTGGGGTAGCACTGAGGTTGAGGAATGAGAGGAGCACTCCCAACTGTGCTGGAGCACAGCCCTACATGAGGGACAACTTGACCCAGGGGTAAGAACATAAGAGTCTTTTTTGGGCCCATCTGAGCAGGACCCACCAGCCAGGAGGAGCAGCTGGAAGAGACCAAAGTGGAAACTTGGGGGGGGGGTTGGGCATTCAAGAGGGGGGCTACCAACTGAGCCTGGGCCAACCACCATCTTCTGGGAGGGACAGTCCCCCAGGAGCCCGCCTGACCCGGGTAGTCTTGGTGATAGCCAAGTTAGGACTAACCAGGACCTGGCCCTTGAGCAAATTGGCCATCAACAGGCCTCCCCCAGCTGTAGGGGTGGGAGTGGACATAGGACCCTGACTTCTCAACCCATCCAGTGCCTAGCAACACGAAACAATGTGCCTGGCAGCAGATAAGCACCCTTTCTTGTAACATGAGCTTTATTTTTCTGTACTTTCTGAAAAGAGAGAAACTGGGGGCCCTACACACATCTACTCCCCCACACTTGGCCAGGCCCCACACCCCAGAGCAGTTGAGAACCAGCTTTGTGACATCACATGACCACTGTGACAAGCAGCCGGTTGCCCCACGACTGACACTCTAGAATTTTCAGGACAGTACATTTGGGGCACCCCTGCTGTGACCAAAGGCATTTCTGACCCCAGTGATCAGTGATAGGATCCCTGGTAGCAAATGCTTTTTGATGTAGAGCAGCTCCATGGCTAGTCAGAGTACTAATGAGATGGGCAAAGCCAGCCCGGCCCCACCAGAGGATGGGCAGGTGGGTCCCGGGAAGGCTTTGGAGACCTTGGTCTCCCATGGGGACAGAGCCGGAAGCCACGATCCAAGCCCCCAAGACAACCCGCAACCACCAGACCAAGGCGCCACCAACGTGGAAGGAAACGTTCTTCTGGGACTGTCCTTCCCAAGAAAGCTTTGGAGAATAGTGGAGGAGGATTGCTTCACGTCGGTGCGCTGGAATGATGACGGAGACACCGTGATCATCCAGAAAGACCTCTTTCAGAGGGAAGTTCTGTGCCGAAGGGGCAACGAGAAAATCTTTGAATCAGACAGCCTGAAAAGCTTCACCCGCCTACTGAACCTACATGGATTCAGCAAAGTGCGCCCAGGCGACTCTTCAGTTTCCTATCCGGGAAATAACGTGATGGTAAAGTAGAACGTCCTCGTGTTTCTCGTGTTCTCTGTTACTCAAACATCTTCCCAGTAGACCAAGAACAATGATATGCTGAAAGGGTTTCATTTCAGGGCATAACTCTTTTTCACTTGAGACAGTACTTATGGAAAGACGAGAAAGTATAGATTTTCATATGAAACTATAAGCCCCTTAGAGATAACCTGCAGGGATCACTAAAGAGTCTGAGAGGCCAGTTAATGTCAAATAGATGTATTTTCAACCCAAAGGACTAAAATAATTAATTTTGTTTCAGATCTACAGAAACGGGAACTTCCAGAGGGACCGGCCTTGGCTGGTCCAGAACATCAATACACAAGGAACCCAGATGACTCGCAGCTGGCCTGGGAGCGGTGCAACACCTCCAAAGAGACCCAAGAGGCAGACCCCGACAAGGTACTCCCTGAGGCTTCAGCAGAAAAGGGGTACCAAAGAAGCCGAGGAAAAGGCCCAGAGGAAACCCCCAAATTCTTGGGAACCCAGTGCTACCCAGTTATCCGAGCACTTGCATCTGCAGCCCACCAGCAGTGCCATGGCTATAGAATGTCCAAGTGAGGCAGGTGGCCCAAGTGGGGAGGGTACATCTGGGCATGACATGCTTGTGCCCACGGCTACTGCCGGAACCGACGGCATGGAGGCTCTGCCCCCCAGGTCCCCAATTTACCCACGACGTGGTCCGGTGACGTCTTTGTACGACATCTGCTATTCCACCCTCATAGCCAGCTTGTCACTGGTGTCTCTACCCCCGTTACCTGAGGAAGAGCAGGAAGTCTCCATACATTGCTATTGCTCACTCTGTGAGCAGTTTAAGGACAATGCAGGTCCCTAGTCGCAAGTGTCGGAAGACAATCGCCACTTTGTAACCACGAATCCATTGTGTGTTTTAAAAAACTGCAAAACTACATGGTGGTTAATAAACAAAGCAATGAGAATTGTGAGTCCGTGTTCTTTTGTTTCCACGCCACACACCTCATCAGATAAGCCCGAGACTAGAAATCCTGGCCTCAGGCAGGCTTTTGTCCCACTGTCCTCTTTCAGTTTCACACACTCTGTCAAGGACCTGGCTAGGGGGTCCTGAGGCAAGCCCAGGAAGACCTGGCCCCCTGAGCCTTGCCTGCTGGTCAGGAGACAGAACTGCAGGGCCCTGACCTTGGGGGAATGACCTGACATTAGTCATGCATCTTGAAACAGGAGGGTCTTTCCTCACAGGCTCCCCTATGTCCCCAGGCTTCTGATCAGCAGCTGAGCATCTCTAGCCCAAGTTCCAGGGGCCTTCCAGGGAGGCCTGCCTAAGACTCGGGCCACCCCATCTGCTAAGTGGCATGGGACGGAGGCAGCCTGCTTCAGAAGAGGGGCCATTACACATTGCTCACAGGGTCGGGGAAGGCGCTGTCTGGAGGGACCTGCTGCTGGAGAGGCTGGGAGGGAACTCCATGCAGATTCAGGCCTTGCTTTGGGAAGGGGAGAAACATGGCTGTGGAGCGATCGCTGCCAAGTGGCAACACCCTGAGCACTGCTCAGACCCCTCCAAGTGTACCCCCAGGACCTTGCTCAGAAGTTTGGGGCTTGTTTTCTTTTAAACCTGTTGGGATGAGGCTGTGGTTTCTATAAGCACCGCATCTTCAAAGGGGCAGCAAGGGACCAAAGAAAGGATCTGTGTGGTATGGCCCTAGACATTTCACCCAGTGATCCCACTTCTAGGAATATATCCTAAGAGTCCCAAAACACTCATCAGAAAGAACTTATGCACCCCTATGTTCATAGCAGCACAATTTACAATAGCTAAGCTCTGGAAACAGCCCAAGTCCCCATCACTAGATGAGTGGATAAAAAGCTGTGGGACATTTACACCATGGAACACTGCTCAGCTGTAAAGAAGAAGGCTCTCCTACCCTTTGGGACAGCATGAATGGACCTGGAGAGTATTATGCTGAGTGAAATAAGCCAGGCAGAGAAAGACAAGCATCACATGATCTCACTTATATGTGGAATCTAATGAACATAATAAACGGATGAACAAAATAGGTCTAGAGACACGGATGCATGGAGCAGGCTGACAGATCTCAGAGGGAAGGGGGGGGGTGAGAGGACATTTACCAGAGAACTTATATGACTATGTGCATAGCCCCTGGACACAAACAATAGTGTGGTAAAGGCCTGGGGTTGAGCAGGGGCTAGGAGGAGGGGGGTAAAGGGCAGAAATTAGGTGGCAACTGTAATACTGTCAACAATAAAATATAAAATAAAAAAAGCCACAGGTCCATATAATGGGCTTTGAATTTCACCCTGACGTTAGTAAAAAAAAAAAAAAAA